CAAAGCTGGTTTAGATGCCTACGTTACGTAATCGTGTCCTTTTAATCCGAGCCGACTTTACCGTTAAGCAAGTTAATTTACCGTTATTCTAGTAAAGTTAAGTCACTTAACTTAAGTGACTTAATTCCTTTAACTAGCTATAATTGAGTGGTTCACGTCGAACTTTTAACTAGTTAAGTGGATGTATATCTAGATAAAAGTTCGACGTGAACCCAGCTATAGCCATGGGAATGTAAACAAGAAACCCATTACAATCACTCACTTCATCTCATGGGCTTCAGTGGCAATAAATAATTTAAGAACCCTTTGCTTTGCTATCTCATACTAGTAACTAGCATTTTACTATCAAGCCTTAGTCATGTATAACGCATGTGATTTCTGGGCCAAGTCCCAGTTCAAATGGGTACTTGAGAGGCCACGGGGGGCCGAGCCCTTCTTACTCCTGCCCATCACTCTACTAAAACGCCTTGACAATACGGTAACTTTTTCTATAATTTAAAAAAAAAATCAAATAGAACAAAATCCCACAAACACTCTTTGGCAGATTTATTAGAAGGGGGTCAGTCCAACTATGACCCATCATTTTACTATGGAGGTTTGACCAGATATGTATACCTGTGTGCTTTCTCGGCAAACGCTTAGTTCTTCCGACTCCAAATGAACCCCGATAGACCAGGGGCCCCATTGTTACTTCATGGTGGCCAAGGCAAACAGTATCTTGTGTTTTCCTTTTTATTGATGATTCTACATACTGTAAATACTTGTAACTATGAACAATGGTACCGTTATGTTACGTGCTGTATAATATATTTAATTGGCTGATTGATTTGTTATAACATTAATAGGCATGGTCCTCTCAGTGGTGCAACGATGAGTCGTGGGTCCCGGGCCGAAACAATGTTAGGAGCACCATGCACATCAGTAAAATATTTTTGCTCACGAAGTGACACCAGGGTGGGTAATCCCCCTACAGATAAGTGTTAAGGATGAAAAGACTTAAATTATTGTGAATAATATTTTGCACACACATAATTAATTTGAATATTTGCATGCAACATAGTATATATTAGGTCTATGCATATGCACATGAATTTTCTTAGCTTTGCCAATATTAATAAGCATTATCAAACAATCATTCAATCAATTGTTTCAGGGTGGGTCCAGGAGACACAGGTCAATCCCAACACCCAAAAAATAAAGAAGAAAGAGAGAAGAAAGACCAGAAAGAAGGGAGCATGACGTCACTCTAGGCCTACTCCAAAACAAGCTATTTTTTAATGTCTGTGGTCTCCACCATTTCTAAACAAAATTCTTTCTCTATATCTGTCCCTTGGGTAGATGGATATATTAGGTGTAAACACCAATGATAACCAACAATATTCGGAAGAATACTTGTTTCCAGTGAGGTCCTTATGGTGGTGATTGGGCACTACACAGGTAGTGGCCTAACGATACCCGGGGCCCTGTGGCTTTCTGAGACTGGGGCCCCTTCTTGATCCAGTACCTCAAAGTGGCCGGAAATGGCACTCATAAATTTAAAATGCGAGTATAATTTAAGGGGCCCCCAGGCCGACAGGGCCCCCGTTAAACCTTCACGGGATGTCTTACAGTCGATCTCAGAGACACATTATGCTGTTATGTATCAATAAAGCCCTTTTGGGTAAGGGTGACCGAGCGAGGACCTATGGGATGGGCACCTTCGGTGCCTCAGGTGACTGGGGCCCTGCGGACCACCGCACAAGAGTGTATAGTCCTTAACGCCATTTTACATCGGGGAACAATCTCCTACGCATTTCCAATTAGTATACTGCATTTTTTAACGTGCACATAGGCCATAATGCAATAAGGAGAATAGCGTTGGGAATTCAATACACCACCTCCTTCCTAAAGCCCCTTCAAATTACCATCTTAGAAAACTTAAAGAATTTATCCTCCAAAATGGCTGGAAAGGATTCCCTGTACAGGCGAATGCTTTGTTCATTTTTAAGTCAGTAGGCCTCATTAAAATAACTATAATAATCTCACTATAATAATAATAATAATAATAATAATAATAATAATAATAATAATAATATTTTAATATTGGTTGCCTTTTTGCCTAGTAAACCTGTTTTCTTTTGCTGTTATTGTGATGTGGGTCCTTTTTGTTGACAATTTTTTAAATGTTGATTGTTTAAATTTTCCTGCTTGAACCCTTTTGTAAAATTCAACTCATTTTGAGTGGTGCAATAAAGAATAGTTTAATTTGATTTGAATCGGAGACCTAGAGATCCACACGTTTCAGCGGACACAGAGGCTACCACCAGTTTAGCAACTGAGCTAAGCTGCTCTGCTCCCTGGTTATAAATTTAAAAGGTACCATTCCAATTTAGGCTCTATTACAGGCTCTATTTACACTATCAAAATTCAGAGATGGACAAAAATTTACTTTCGCCATAATATATTGTACATATTGTTTTTAATAAAGTGTCACTTTAATTTATGTTGCTCTGAAACATAAGGCCAATCTGAATAAAATGACCATTGTCCTTTAAAGTCCAATTGATGATGTTGCAGGTGTTCATTATCCGAATATCCGAATTATTAGTAGGCCTATCATAACATTATTTTAATCGACTTGAACATGCTGTGTATAATATTTAATAATATGCCTACTATGATGGATAACCATGTATTTTATTCTTTATTTATTGACATGTTTAAAGTCTGAGGCGGATTTTAAGGTGAGTAGGGATGCAGTCGTCCGGGGCCGGCTCGTACATTTTTGAAAAAATTAAAAGAAAATATTTTGTCAAAAGCATTGTATTATTAGATTGCTCGGTAGTAGTAAGCAGGGGCCCATCGCCTTTCCGGGACTCATTTGGGCACACAAGCATTACAATACTGGCCAAACCTCCACAGTGGGGTATCCTGGGGCATAGTTGAAAGAAACCCTTCTAATAAATCTTCCAAATAATGTGTTTGTGTTATTTTGGACTATTTGGTTTTTTTCGGAAATTTTAGGAAAGGTTGCGTATTGTTAAGGCATTGTAGGACAGTGCTGAGTATCAGTAGTACTGTTAGTATAAGTAGTGGCCACTCCGAGGGCACACTTGGGACTCGGACTTCGCCCAGAAAGCACATGTGTTACTTAAGGCTTGGTAGTTATGTGCTAGGTAGTAGTAGGCGTGCCCCCCCACCCAAACCCGATAGCCCATGAGTTACGCAAATGGGTCCTGTTTAATATGATATGCCATAATTGGACTTAGGGGACAATATATGAAACACTACACCGTTTCTGATATGTAAAATGCAACACATTAATCAGCATCGGAAGAGCTTTCCAACGATACCAAACACGACTACTTTTGGTGAGTTTATATACTTATTCTTGTTTTATGCACATTTTAAGTATATTTTGCGGTTATGTTCCGTTCTGGTTTGAGTGACAGTAGTTTTTATATGTCTGGTTTGTTGCCTGTATAGAAATTATGAGTTTAGACACCAAAATCATACCTGCAGCTTTAATTTCCCGTATTATATGTACATTTTTGATAAATTTGGCAGCCATTTTGAAAAATGGCCGCCATTTGTATACTAGACGAAAAATCAAGTGTCAACAGGGCTTAGGGGGATCAGAAGGGATTAATTAGGATATCTGGCTATGTTGACTGCTTCTAACATTCCACTCCCCCCTAACTTGATTTCTAGGCCTCTTTTAAAATTTTTTTACTAGTCTATATTATTAATTTCCTCACAGTGCGTATATCAAAGTCAGTGCCGAAGGGTATCATTATGTGCAGCAAATGAATTAAATGTGTTAAGAAAGCTCATAACCAGATTAGTGGCGGATTCAAGGGAGGAGAAAGCCGGCCAGGGCCCCTAAATATTTCAAAATTATGAAAAAATAGTGTAGAAATAAAAATTATATTCCCATTTAAGAAAGGGGGCCATTTCCGGCCACCTAGAGGTGCCATAATCATAAATTTTCTTACCTCAGCTACAACCATGGTGGGGCTGATGTGGTCTAGATCTCAATCTATGAAAGTCCCTTCCTGCCCCCACCCTTCCCAATACAATTCTCACCTTGAAAAGAACTAAATCTGAAAAAGCTACAGCTTAAATTCTTGGCTTACAACTAGATGGTTATGGGTGTGGTCCATACTGACATCAGGAGTATTGAAATGGGGACTGACGAAGATGAATTGAGGAGCTTGATGATTAAGTGTGGGGCGATAATAAGGTGATGTTTAACTACTTGAGCATGATTGACTTCGGACAATTTCAATGGGGGTGGGGACTGGGGGCGGGAGCTCATTTTTNNNNCTCATTTTTTTTGGGGGGGGGGGGAGAGAGAAAAGGAGATGCCTGTCTATATTTTAACACAGTGTTCCAGTGGACCCAATTTGGAACCACTGGAGCACAGTGATAAAAAAAAAGGGGGTACCTTTATATTTCCTAACAAACCCCCACCCACCCACACCTACACTGTCCCAATGGATTATTATGCAAGAAAGAAGACATAAAAGAAAAAGAGAAGAGATTTTTAAAAATTGAAAAAAAAAAAGAAAAATAATAAATAAGAAATAACAAAAGGATGGAAAGAAAAAAAAGAAAGAAGTAAAATGGTGGAAAGAAAATGACAACGAAAAAACTAAAAGTAAAGGTAAGTATCAAAAATGAAATAAGAAAAAGGATAAACAATATTAAAAAGAAAATAGATATTAAAGGGATAGTAAAGAAAAATGGTGCAAGGTAAAAAATTCAACCTAACTGGAAGGAAAGGGAAAGTATTTCAAGGAAAGTTTCAATTGTTAGGAATATTTCTAAGAAAATTACAAATTTCTGTTAATTATTAACATATATACAGAGTATAAAAAAGAAAAACATGAGAAGAAATAATGTGCTAGCTAAACTGTCAGTCAATGGACAGCCAAAATCTGCAGTTACTTAAGTGGATTGATATATTGATTATAAAATTAATAATTAATATTACCTTTACCTTACCTAACTTCTTCGCATCAAGTGACGCATAAGGCCTCAACAGAATGCCTCCATCTGTCCCTGTTGGCCGCTGCCGCTCTAGCTACTCCCCATGATGTCCATCCTCCCATATTTCTTTCTTTTTCTACCATTCGTCTCCATGTTGTGTTTGGTCTACCTCGTCTTCGCTTACCTTCCGGTGCCCATGTCAATGCAATGTTGCAGTCATCTCCTTGATCTTTTCTTAGTATATGCCCCAGCCATTTCCATTTTCTACATCTAATTTCTTTGCTTATCGGTTGCGTATCTGCTCTTTTCAATAAATCTTCAGTTGTCACCCTCTCTTGCCATTTAATATTTAGCATCCAACGTAGGCATTTATTTTGAAATATATCTATTTCCTTTTCTTCTCCTTTCGTCCTCTTCCACGATTCACATCCGTATAAGAGAGCAGATTTAACTAGCACATTGTATAATTTTATTTTCGTTCTTCTGTTAATTATATTTGACTTCCATATTCCCTTCAGTTTGGTGAATGTAGCTCTGGCTTTTGGAAGTCTGTTGTTCACGTCACCAATTCCCCCTTCATTTGTCACAATGGCTCCAAGATATGAAAACTTTTCCACCGTATCTAGATCTTTTCCGTTCATGGTTATTACGTCGTTTCTAGAATTTATTCTCATGATTTTGGTCTTCTTTAATATGGTTCACTCTCAGTCCTAGTCTTGCTGCTTCTTCTACCAGTCTGTCTGATTTATCTTGTATTTGATTTTTCGTGCTTGATATCAGGACAATGTCGTCCGCAAAATCAAGATCATCGATCAAGCTTGGTGGTATGCTTCCATCTTATTCCATTCTTTCCATTCTCTACTGTATTTCTCAATATCCAATCCACTGCTATAAGGAACAGGAACCCTGACATGTTGCAGCCTTGTTTTACTCCAGTTTTTATGTCAAACCACTTGGATTTCTTGCCTTGGTGAATTACTGCACATTCTAATTTATCGTAGAATGTCTTGACAATATTAATAATCTTCCCTGGTATTCCATATTTTGTCATTATTATCCATAAGCCTTCCCTGTGGATAGAATCGAACGCTTTTTCAAAATCAATGAAGTTTAGGTATATGGTTGCCTGCCATTCATTTACTTGTTCAATTATATTCTTCAGAATGAAGATCTGTTCCGTTGTCCCTCTCCCCTTCCTGAACCCAGCCTGTTCTTTTCTCAACTGTGCATCAACTCCGTTTCTTATTCTTTCTATCACAATTCTACTCAGAACTTTGCTGACCACACTTAAAAGAGTGATACCTCGCCAGTTTTTGCATTCTTTTAGGTTGCCTTTTTTGGGTAGTTTTATAATCAGTTCTCTTTTCCATGTATGTGGTATTTTCTCTTCTTTCCAAATCTGGTCAAATAGCTCCTTTAATCTATCTGTTGTGAATTCTGGGTCAGTAGTTCTGCTGTTATTGAATCTACACCAGGTGATTTTCCATTCTTTAGTGTTTTGAGTGCTTCCTTTATTTCATGCATGGTGACTCTTCCAGTGTTTATTTCCGTGATTTCTTGATTGTTCTCAACATCCCCTTCTTCATTTATAGGCCATTCTGGATCCTCTCTATTTAGGATTTCACCAATTATTATTACTGAAACATTAATTATATTTTTTGTACACTTCCTTTAAATTTTTCAGTATTTATCTTCATTTGTGCAGAATTGCATTAACACTGCAAATGCCTATACATTGGTTACAATAGCTACTGGCCGAACTGCAACATTTGCGCGGAAATTGGTAGACTTATTTTGAATATGCGTGGATGGAATTTTGTCTTTATGAGATAACTCTAAATCAATTTACACATAATAATTTCAACCTAAACAGATGAATAAAAAGTATAGCCGCGTTAGTCTGTACAGTATAGAACAATATAAAAAAAAAAGTGCTGTTGTTTAAATATTTACTTTATATTGACAGAGTTCCAGAGTTTTCACCAGCATTTCGGAAGTGCTGAGATTCCAGCTCCCCACTTGTCAAAGGCCATTTAGGCTTCGTTTTAAGCCCGAAAAATTGGCATCACACAGCCGGCCGGCAACACTTCTTAGGTTATAATGTAGCCTACAACATTAGGCCTGGGCCTGTACAACTTCAGCAAAGTATCTTATAAATACCTACATAACGATCTGTAGTTTCATTTTCTTATTCAATGGTTGTTTTTATTGAGAATTACAAAAAAAAAAAAAAAAAACTAGTACGCCTTCCAACTTCGAAACTTCAGTATTATTCGCCAGAGAACATCGTCACACGTTTCGTAATTGGAAGGCCAATTAGTTTGGTTTAACTGATGTTAGTTTGGTTTAACTGATGTTGTTTTTGTTGTTACGCTTTGATTTTTTTTTGTCAAAACAAGAAACATTCCTTGTAGAATTGTATATCTTTTTATATATCTTCTAGATTAAATTAACCAATTAATTCAATTGTTGCACTTTATTAATTCCACGTTTAAAATTTAATCTTTAAATATCCATTTATATACAATTCAATTTTTATATTATTTCAAAACACTATTAAACAATCATTTTGCTTACTTTCTGCTGATACTTTGTTAAGAACGAAATAAATTGTTTGAAAGAGGCCTATTAAATAACATTGCTTACCGTCTACTACATAGTAGTACTTTGAATATAATCATCCCGATGATGCCTAATTGTATTTATTTACGATTTATTTAGTGTTAAATTTTGATTATTTCTTGATGCTGGGCCCTTTACATCATATGAGTCAATACTGTATACGATCGTTTGAAATTTCGGTACATAGTCTATTTTATGAACAAATACGTTAAGGAAACGTTCACAATTACGAGGAGGTACAGGTAAGAGTAGCACTCAATAAAATGTTAAAAAATCGTGCAATCCAATGTTTTTATACCAGTCTCCTTCGCTTTGACGGTGATCGTTTATTTACCAAGAATAAGATGAGAGCACATTGACACGGTTTTAGTGTACGACGTCACACTTTAACAGTCTAGGTCATGCTGATTGGCTGATACAGTACATGTAAAATGAATGATAGCATGTTTTGCGTACTGCCTGACTGAAAATCATTGGCTGTACAAGTTGGAAATAATTGGGATTTGGAGGGAAAATACCTTCCTACAACTTACAAAATCTACTAGCGCTATCAAATGACCTTGTTGCACTGAGCCCGACAAAGTTGAATTCCTTGTCGCACCATAAAAAATCAGGTCACAAATGCGACCAAATAACCCTTAATTTCCTGCTAAAGTACAGTGGTATTGAATAGGGATGTCTGTCTGTAACCCTATCTGTAACATTAGTTTATAATTATCAGAGTGTTTCCTACAAAAGATATAATCTCCTTTTCAGTTTAGTTTTTGTGTCTATTGCCCCCAACGGGGTATAGACCCTATGTCATGATGTAGCAATTAGAGATGGCGGAAAAGGGTAAATCCGGTTTGGCGCGATCTACAAATTATCCCCAACGACAGAAACACGTCTGGGAAAACCATGTATTACAAACGCGTCTGGGAAAGCGATCGTCTAATAATCGTGCCTCATGAATATTAATAAGCTAGTCGAATATGTCCCAGACGCGTCTAAACGGGTTTGTGCTTTTGAACGCGTTTGCCATTGTTTCTATTGTTTTGGGCGACAAACACGTCTCTGTCGTTAGACCAGGCCCCGGTTGAACTACCGTTTTTGTACAATTTAAAATACTGAACAAGTTTTACTTTGAAATGAACCAAGTTCAAAGTTTAAAGGCTGCATAGTCCTAATAGTTAAATTAAGTGGTAATGACGATAATGGCAGCACATGCATGTAGGCCTAATACAAATATATGCTGTATACACATACTACAGGCCGCTTTAAATACATGATAGATAAAAGTTAAACTATGATAGTATCAACTATCTCCCGCCGGACACCATCCCGGTATATAAGTTAAGTTGAAGGAAATGAAATAAAAATTTACACTGTTTTAATATTTGCCTCGTGATTTTTTGTCGGACACATCGTATCCCCTTCTGCCAAATCCTGCCGCTACCGGTCCCGTTCAGAAATAAAATCAATTCACTTTGTTTCGTATCGATATTCTTACTTTGTCATGAACGGAAATAAACTGTTTGAAATAGGCATATACCACCAGTTTGCATTACTGCAAATTGCCTAGTAACAGTGAATTCACTGAGAAACGTTCCCACACAAGTAGGTTCCCACGATCAGTAGAAGCATGAGAGAAGCAGACACAAGGTCAATCACATACAGTAGTCTTCTCTTTAAACGCCGCCAACTCAGGAATGTAGACGCTCTAGTGTCTGATCTGATTCTTTGAACGCCGCCTTCAGGAATGTAAACGCGCTGCTGCTCCGCAAGAAGGGAATAGCCGACTGCCTTGTTCAGCAATATAAACATGTGCCATGGTTTAACCATTTTTAAAACATAATAATATATATAATAATACAAACATGTATTAAATTCATATAGCCTACACAGTAAAACACAATGCCGTAGCATACGTACTGTTGTGGCATCACGTGATCGCCACAACGAACTTCTTCAACTGCGGCTGATCCAGGTCAGTGTTTACATGCTGTATTGTGCGGGCTGTGCAGGCACGTGGGAATTAGAAAGTTGGCAAAAGGTAATTGTTTTGATAGGTCAATTCGAACATCGCACAATATAATCTGGGTAGCAAGGTTACTGGCGATTGCTTTCTTTTCTATAAAACCTACATGTAACGGTAGGGCTTAGCCTACTAAAATACAAGAAACATTGGGGTTTCCCCAACAAAAAAAATAATTAAATTTAGGCCTTTATTATAAACATTTCTTCGTAAACTGTCACCTAGCGTAGGCTAGCATTTTACTACCAGGCTACTACTATTATAAATATAGGCCTAGGCCTACATAGCCTAGGTACGGTAGGGACACTGAACAAGTTTTGAAGTTGTTTAAATCACGATCAAATTCCAAATTTCGCTGAACGCGTTTAACATTTTGCTATTCACGAGCAGTCAGCCATATGAAAAGGGGAGGAGTTAACTTCCAAACGGAATAAACGGCTCGAACGACAAGCTTCCAAACGGCATTTCACAGACGCGTTTGGGAGCTTGTCATATAACAATAGTAAACGTGTTTGACCCGTTTCTGTCGTTGGGGATAATTTGTAGATCGCGCCTTTAGGCATGATGGGTACTACTACCACGAGGTAGGGGGCACTCTATTGACCATCAAATAGCGTTCGGAACTCGAACACGCATTACAGAGACGCAGCACATGTTCGCCACCAACGCCTTTTACCATCATTTGAAGGACGCCCTCTAGAACATGGTAGTACTCTTCGTGATCAACGACATAACATGGTAACTCAAAGAGTTACTCATTTTTAAAGTGTTTATAGTGTTATATAGTAGTAGGTCTATACAGAATATTGTTATGAAAGAAATTTTTTATGAAAAATCCAGATACACTACAACAATACACACATCTGCATATTGAAGAACATAAGATAAAATTAAAAAAACAAAAACTCCTGTATAAGGCAGTAGACACACGCTCCCGATGGGAGCCTATTTGTAAGGGGAGTTGTTGCATATACTTTTTGCTATTTAATGTTTATGCAAGTTTAC